GCCTCGAACCCTCCAGGCGGCGCACCTGGAGCTACACCGTGCCAGCTCGCTTCTGCCGTTCCTCGCTGGGCTGCAATTCATTCAGAGTTCGTTCAGAGTCTGATCAGACAAGCAACCAGAAGAATAAGGAGAGAGAGATAAAGAGGGAAGAGGACAGGAGAAAACACCTAACACAACAAGAAAAGACACATGGTAAAACAGAAGACGAATGAGTTCATAAACCCTAATCTCCTTCATCACGCCAGCGAGGGCCCACACTTCCCCCCGCTCTCGAATCCAAAACTGACGCCGCCCTGGAAGCCCTGCGCGCAGGCACTGTGCCACACCGCAGATTCGCTGGACGTCCGCGCTTTTGTCACCACTGCCGGTGTTGCACCCGTTGCTGAGCCCGTTGTTGCTGCATCTGCTGGGATCGCTGCATCTGCGGAGGCTGCCGCCGCCAGTGCATCTGCTGCTGCTGCCACCCCCGCCGCAACTGAACCTGAGGCTGCAATTCGTTTTGGGCGCTTCCTTTCCGGAGGACTCGGAGTCTTTGGGACCCTCGGTAAGCCCTGGGCCTCGAGGTCAACTGGCGGCGGCGCGAGCAGCTGGCACAGGCGCTGGTGGCAACGCCTCTGCTCGCCCGCCACGCTGCGCATTTGGCAGAACCTAAGTTGACGTTGGCCGCGCCAGCACTGGGGGTGGCGACGCAGGGGGCGCTGGCGGAAACTGCGGAACTGCCCAGTGCAGCTCACCGCACGGCTGCCCTAACTGCGGCTGCAGTGGCGGATGCTGCGGGAATGGCTGCAACTCCACAAACAGCCGCGCTGATTGCAGTTCAGGTGGTGGCGGATGCAGCGGGGGCTCGGCTGCCACTGATCGCGCGGGCGCGCTTTCTCTGGTCGAGGTGCTTCTTGTCTCCGAGGCGATGGCTGCAGCGATGGTGCCCTGTGACACGGCGCTCTCTTTACTCGTATCGGCTGTCGCTGCGGAGCAACTGACGTTGGTTGGGGTGTCTGCTGCTGCGCGAGCGCTAGCTGTGACTCCGAGTGCGGCTGTGGCGTCGCTGTCTGTGGCTGCGCCGCGCGAGTGTCCCCATCCGCTGCAGACAACGTCCACGAGCCCCAGGTCTCATCATCATCGGCAGCAGCAGCAGCATGCGGCGGGGGCGCTTGCACGTCGGCAACGGCTGCCGAAGCCGGCGCCGACGCGGGGCCCAGCGCCGCCTCATCACCCACGCGTCGCTACTTTCGCGGGGGCCGAAAAAAGGCGCTCCTCATGGGCTGCGCAGTGGAGCCGCAGCGGTTTCGGCATTGGGGAATTCTGAAGGGGAACCTGCGTCGGGCATGGCATCGCGACACCTCAGAGCTCGTCGCGCAGTAGGGAAAAAAACAAGCGTGGGTCTTTTACTGGTGTCGCAGAGTCCACCGCCGATCGCTGAGACCTCCGCGCGCTGCGAGATCATTCTCGCGCCCCCCCCCGCCCCCCGCCCCGCCCACCCGCAGGGCCCATGGAAGAAGATCACTCTCCAACACAGGCCGCGAGGCGCGATTATCCTGGCGCAACCTTCGAGTGGACTGCGGGGGCGACCCTGCCATCGGTATTTGAAGACACAACAACACTGGAACAATCCTGAACGGCCGTTGGGGTGTGGACTTCTTTTGGGATTGATCCGCACCCTGTCCGCGCTCTCCCACGGGCCTCCAGAGATGCAGCCTTCCAGGAGGCACTCGCGTTGGCGGGAAAAAAACAGCGCGTGGATTTTTACTAGCCAGCGCATAATTCCGCACGCGCGTGGGCCCCGCCGCCGTCCATCGGCGAAGTGCGACGTTGACCTGCGCAGCAAGACGCTGCACTAGATGTTCGACGAGGCTACAATCAGGAAGCACACGATGTGGGGGGGCGCCCCTGTATCATCTAGATGCGCAAAAGTGACGCTGCACGCGCAAAAAGATGGAAGTCTGCTCGTGGAGTGGCAACAGCCACCAACCACTGGCCGAACGCCTGCCGCCACTGACGCGCTACAAGGACCCCTCACTAATCCGTTTTGCCGTCGCCATCGCCCCCCCCCCCCCCCCTCCCATGGCCCATCACTCTCCAACACAAGCCGCGAGGCGCGATTATCCTGGCGCAACCTGGGAGTTGACTGCGGGGGCGACCCTGCCATCGGCATTTGAAGCCACAGCAACACTGGAACAAACTGCAAGAAGCACATGGTTTTCCTGGGGCGCGGGAAAGGGAGCCTCGTTGCCAAAGGAGCAGCCGCCGCGCGAAACGCGCCCTTCCTCGCGCCCTCGGAACAGCCGCATGCAAAACACATTGCCGACCCAGACCGCAAGACACGATTCTCGTGGAGCAACTTTGGATATATTGCGGAACAGCCGCTGGCATCGAAACTGCATGTCACAATGAAACCCGAACGTCCCAACGAAACTCGCATGAACGGTCGTGTCGGAGGAAGCCCTGGCTGCCAAAGGATCTTGCGCCGAACGAGCGCGACCATCCTCAAGCCCCTACCACGGCCGCATAAAGAATGCGCGCTCACCACCAGACCGCAAAGCGCGATTATCCTCGCACGACAATTGGGTTTGGATTTGTTTTGATCTGGTCTCGATCTGTCCAAAGCCTCGAACGCGCCTCCGAGGATGAAACCCTCCAAGAGGCGCCACCGTTGGTCCGGAGGACAAAAAATTGGCTTCAGAACCTCCACCCTGCGCGGTGGGACGTCCGCACGCTGCGAGATCCTCCTCGCAGGGCTTTCGTCGAAGCCCTCCAACTATGTTGCGGCTCAAAGAAGCAGAATCTGCATCACGAATCGCTCCTCCTTTTTTCTGAACCACCTCATGCCTCCTCCTTTCCCCATACTTGCGTCGCAGCAGATCAACTCGCCGTTGTTGATTCCGCACGCGCGTGAGCCTCGCCGCAATGCGTCGGCGACGTCCGATCCGTACCTGTGCTTCAAAGACGTTGCACAGTATCTTCGGGAAAGAAACCCACGAGCCAGCAGGTGAGGGGGACGCCCTTACGTATGTATACATTTATTTATATGTATATATATATATATATATATACATGCACACATCTGTATACATATATGCATATATACAAGTGGCACGTGTGTGCCCAGGCTCATACAACAAGCTGAAGGGGCGTTTGAAGCAGGAGTGACATGCAACAGCGAAGTCGCACTCGAGCGCAAGTGGGGTTGCCACACCTTGCGATGTGTGTACCAGGGCCCCCCAGGAAGCCTCAGGAGGCCCGACTTGGATACCAGGAGAGGCTCCAGGAGGCCCCAGGATTGTGAGTGTTGTGTGTGTGATGTGTGCTTTGTGTGGTGCGTGCTTTTTGCGTGTTGTCGGTGTTGTGTGTGTATGTTATGTTTGTCTAGCGTGTGATGTGTTGGGCGTGATTTGTGTCTCTGTGTGTGCATGTAGTTCTGAAGCCCCAGGAGGCCCCAGGAGGCCCCAGGCGGCCTCAGCAGGCCCAGGAGAACTCCAGGAGGCTCCGAGGCGGGGTCTGGGGTACCAGAAGGTCCAGAAAGCCCCAGGAGGCCCCAGGAGGTTCCAGGAGGCCCCCAGGAGGCTCCGAGGAGGGGTCTGGGGCTCGATTTTGGGAGGATGTCTCAGGCGAAACCGCCATTCTCTGAGAATCGGAGTCAAAATCGTTGAAATTACCATGTGTTTTTGAAGGTTTTATGATAAAATGTTGGAAATCCTATGTGTTTTTGGACCCTGGCGTCACGATCTGCGTGAGGGGTGCCACCGATTTTCAGAATTTCGAGGATGTCCCGAGCGAAACGGCCAGACAAATCGCGAACGACGGACGCACTAATCGCCTCTGAGCTCTACTCCCTCGGAGAGGTGCGTATGAGAATATGTATAGATATATATACTTGCGTTGCGGGGGGACGCCCCTTTATCATCTGGATTATATATGTGCATGCCCTGCACACGCAAAAACTAATTGAGATCTGCTCGTGATCGCTGTCGCTGGCGCCTCATCATCATCCGCTGTCGCTGGCGCCGAATGAACACACCACGAGCCAATTCTTGAGCCCAAAGACACGCTGTCGAATGGCACCGCGCAATGCCACCTCTGTGCACGCATGCCTGCCCATGTTATGTACGCGTGTGTGTACAATATACGATTGCATGTTCTGTATATATACACCTATGTTTATGTGTATATATACAGAACATTAGTACATACAAACGTACAAAGTTGTTGAGGGTGGACCTGATGCGAGGCCGGAGCAAGCGGCGGCAATTTGGCGCGGCGACATGGGAGGGCAGTGCACAAGATAAAGGCACCGCGCGAGATAGCGAGAGCCAGGTTGTTAATGCTGCACGACCCCCCCCCCACCCAAGGCCTTCCCAGATATCCCAAGGGGTCGGCGGTGTGGTGTAAGCCCATGGATATATGGTTTGGGCCCCTTGGGCCTCTTGGGGGTCCAAGAGGGCCTAAAGACGGCTCAAGCTTATCTCGAGACGGGCCAAGGCGGCCCCAAGACGGCCCAAGACGGCCCCAAGAGGGCCGAAAAACGCTTCCAAGACGGCCTCTGAGGGCCCCAAGGCGGCCCCCAAGAGCACCTCCCCAAACCTTGATGTTCTGTAGATTCTTGAAGGGTTTTAGCGTTCTCGCCCTGTTCGACTCGGGGGCTCATGACGGCCCAAGCAGCCTCCAAGATGGCCCCGAGACGGCCCCAGAGGCCCCGAAGAGGGCCCCAAGACGGCCCGAAAGGGCGCCTATGTGGCCCAAAGAGGCCCCACGACGGCCCAAGAGGCCCCCAAGACGGCCCAAGAGGACCCCAAGAGAGCCCCAAGGCAGCCCGGAGAGGTCTCCAAAACAGTTTCCGGAGAGGCCAGACGGCGCAAGAACACCCCAATACGGCCCAAGAGGCCTCCAAGAGGTCCCAAGAAGCCCTGAGGCCCCTAAGCGGCCTCCAAGAGGCTCCCAAGAGGTTCCGAGGCGGCCCCACAACGAATGGATGGCACGTGCTGTGGACGTGCACCCCGCGAAGCGAAAGGAATCTGATTGGTCGGCTCCTCGCACTTGCGGCTGTTCCACTTGGGCGACTCGCGATGGCACTCGAGGCCCGCATTGGTGCTGAACACAATATCAAACGTGTAACCGGCCTGCTCGTTCGGCAGCAAGAGGGCCTGCTCCAGTCCCGGCCACGTGGCCTCCAAGTGCCGTGCCAAGCCAGCCACTATCAGCAGCACGCTTCTATTCCCCACCGCCTGCGGGACCGCGGCAACGGGGGGCGACGCCGGCGGCTCAAGCCACCGAAGATCTGAAGTCGTCGACTCGAGCTGCAAGCCAGAAGCGAACAGCGGCACCAGCCCCAGCAGCAGCGAACAGACCAGCTCCGGCGAGCAAGCCATTGGCGCGGAGGACCCCCCGCACTGTGGGTGTTTGGACACAGGCGCTGAGCGACCCAGGCAATCTGGACAACGTAGAATACTAGTGTGCGATGTGGATTGAACTCTCAATAGAAGGAAGAAAAAGCACCGTAAACATAAACTGTTGGCGCTCCGCGCGGACTTCTAAGATCTGCGCTTTATCCCCCTCCCTGCCACGCGGAGCGCGCAAGGGGCGGCGCCAGAGGCGCCGCCAGGGGGGCCCAATGCGGATCCAAGAAAACCGCGCGGAGCGCCAAAAGTGAGAGGCGGGGATTTATCCATATCCACCGCCTGGGAACCGACGTCCTGGTGCCCTGGCGGGCGGTGGATATGGATATATTCTGGCCCCCAGGAGCCCGGATATGTCCATGCTTCATGTCCACCGCCTGCCGAGGTCCCCGAAAATTGATCCTCCGGGCGGTGGTCGTGTATAAATTCCCGCCTCGGATTATGATGCTCCAACCTACTTTAGCCTTGACTACCAGAAAGAATTTCGAACGCCCCCCAAAACAACGAAACTCAAGGGTTTTCACGTGTCGGGCCCTGGGAGACACTCGCCCGACACTGTTTTGACACTGTTTCGAAACTGTTTCGGCACTCCTTTGACACTTTTCCGGGTGCTCGAGCTGACTTCTGGGATGCGGTCCTTCAGGAGGATGGGAACAACACAAGCCTCGGAAAACAAAAATGTGCTTATGACGCTTTTTCCTCTTCGACACAACTCGCCCGAGCCGGATTGGCCGCGGAACAGCTCGGGAGAGAGGGGGCGAGGGCCCTGACCTTCCAGAGAGCTATTTTTTAGCACTGGAGACCTAAAAACCTAAAAAACTCAACGAAACAGCCTAAAACCAAGACGTAGAATAGCTCTGGGATAGGTTTAGAGGTCGGGTGCTATTTTTTTAACCCTCCTGGAAGGTCAGGGGGGAGGCACGCGAACTCCCGAGGGCCAGAGCATCTGCTCCCGCGCGCCGGTGCCGCTCGTGCCCCTGGCTCTCGCCACCGTGCTCTCTCGGGCGCTGGGCGGAGGACGAAGAGGAGCAAATCGAGCACACATGCAAGGAGGAGGAGGAGGAGGAGGAGGAGGAGGGGGAGGAGGAGGAGGAGGAGGAGGAGGAGGAGGGGAAAGAGGAGGAGGAGGAGGAGGAATTACCTCCTAACTTTGAAAACGACCCGCCCTCCATCCGTGAAGCTGCTGCAGTTTTCAAAAGCTGCAGGGGCCGGGGGCGGCGGGGCAGTCGCCGCGCAGATTGCACAGTGGAGGCCAATCCACAAGAAACCTTCCACAAGAAACCCAACCCTGAGACACCAGAACGTCTATGGATTTCTGGTGCGGGAACGTCACGCATATTATAGCGAGACCATCGCAACCCAAGAAACCCAGGGCACCACGAAGGCAAGCAGGCTGTTTCTTGGCATGGGTCTCCACTGTACTCTCAGACCGCCAGGGTCAAGGGGGGGAGGGGCGGGGGAGGGGGAGGGGGAGGGGGAGGAGGAGGGGGGGGAGGAGGAGGAGGAGGAGGGAGGAGGAGGAGGAGGAGGAGGAGGAGGAGGAGGAGGAGGAGGAGGAGGAGGAGGAGGAGGAGGAGGAGGACCTGGGCGAACTGCTCTTCGAGGGCAGGCTCGGGGTGGTGCCGGAGGCCCCGGCTCGTGGGGCCGCGAGGGGAGCTCCTGGGGCAGGCGGCCCAGGTGCAGCCAGCCCGTATCCCCAGACCCCCTCGAGTAATGAAAAAATCACGACGGGAGGTTTTTCCAAATTTTCGGCCTCTGGGGCCCCTCACCGGGCCTCGGGAGCGTCAAAAAACGACTCAGGATGCAAAGCCGGTCCCGGGGAATGGGTCGGGACCTCTGGGGGTCGACGTCATGAAAAAATCATGACGTCGGGGGTCTGGGTCCAAAGGGGCCCAGGGACACACAATAAGTCGACACAAATCCCAGGATTCCTGCTTTTTTCACGGGATTCCTGCTCGTTTCCCTGTCTCTCCTAGGGTTCATGATTTGTTTCCCCAGGGTTCCTGTTTTTTCCCCCCCGGGTTTTTGTTTCTTTCACCGGATTCCTGTTTTTCCCGGATTATTGTTCTTTTATTGTTTTTGTTCCAAGATTCCCAAGAAATAGACACAAATCCCAGGATTACTGTTTTATTCCCTCCTGAGGATCATGGGCATGCGCCGCGGTAAGGAGAAAGGGGCCTTGGAGGCCCATGGCGAGGCTTCTCGGGCGGGGCGCGACCCAGGAAGGTGGCGAAAGGAGATGGGCCCAGGAGGCAAGGCTGCAAGGGTTGCGCCTGGGAAGGCCCCTGGGTGGCCCCAGGCTGGCCCAAGATACGCCCAAGATACAGTCGGCCCGTATCAGAAGGATGCGCGGAAATGATGCAAGGGCATTGGAGATCCATGATGGGAGAACAAAAAGCCGACACCGGCACCAAAAAAGTATTTGTTCCGCGAAATCCCACCAGCCCTTTAGGGCGTAGGTGGTCTAGGGAGTTTCCTCTGCCAACCCCCTTCTTCCCCTTCGGGGAGGGGTTTACCCCTCCCCTTACCCCTCCCCACTGACCTGGACGGGGCCGGTCGCGAGGTGTCAGAGCGTCCAAGATGGCCCAAGACAGCTCCAAGAGCGAACAGGCGAGAAAACACAAAACATTGATTTTACCTAGGTTTTGGAAGGATTTTGGCATCTTGGGGGGGCCCAAGAGGCGACTCGAGGCACTCTGGAGGGGCGGGGCTAATAAGCAACCCCCCCTTCTTTGATAGATCTCCTCCAAGATGGCCCAAAGAGCGCCCCGAAGGCTCCCAAGAGCGCCCCAAGAGCGCCCCAAGAGGGCCCCAAGAGACCCCAAGAGGCCCCCAAGAAGCCTCCAAGAGGCTGCCAAGAGACCCCCAAGAGGCCCCAAGAGAGTCCAAGATGGCCCAAGACGGCTCCAAGAGCGAAAAGGCGAGAAAACAGAAAACATTGATTTTATCTAGGTTTTGGAAGGATTTTGGCCTCTTGGGGGGCCCAAGAGGCGACTCGAGGCACTCTAGAGGGGCAACGCTAATTGGGGACCCCCTCTTCTCTGATCGATCTCCTGCAAGATGGCCCCAAGAGCGCCCCGAAGGCTCCCAAGAGCGCCCCAAGAGCGCCCCGAGAGCGCCCCAAGAGGCCCCAAGAGGCGCCCAAGAGGCCTCCAAAAGGCTCCCAAGAGACCCCCAAGAGGCCCAAGAGGCTCCCAAGACGGGTCCAAGAGCGAAAAGGCGAGAAAACAAAAAACATTGATTTTACCTAGGTTTTGGAAGGATTTTGGCCTCTTGGGGGGGCCCAAGAGGCGACTCGAGGCACTCTAGAGGGGCAGCGCTAATTGGGGACCCCCCCTTCTTTGATAGATCTCCTCCAAGATGGCCCCAAGAGCGCCTCGAAGGCTCCCAAGAGCGCCCCAAGAGGGCCCCAAGAGGCCCCAAGAGGCCCCCAAGAGGCCTCCAAGAGGCCCCCAAGAGACCCCCAAGAGGCCACAAGAGGCTCCCCGAGATACGCAAGAGGCCCCCGGGACCGCCAAGAGGCCCCAAGGACGGCCCAAGAGGCCCCCAAGCTCGCAATTGTCCTCCTCCTCCTCCTCCTCTTTTTTCCCTCCTCCCTCCTCCCCCTCCCCCTCCTCCTCCTCCTCCTCCTCCTCCTCCTCCTCCTCCTCCTCCTCCTTCTCCTTTTCCTCCTTCTCGTCCTCCTCGTCCTCACAGTCCTCCATCTCCTCCTCCTTCTATTCCTCCTCCTCCTCCTCCTGCTCCTCCTCCTGCTCCTCCTCTTCCTCCTCCTACTCCGACGACGACGGCTCCTCCTACATCCTCCCCCTCTTGGGGTATATGGCGGCTCACCCCGCCCTTTGTTCTTCTGCATGCTCCCCCGCTTCCCTCATAACCTCCACTCCCCTGGGACTCATTTCTGGACGGGCTGGTGGGGATACGCGAAGCGTCTAGAATTTTGAATTGCGCTTTGGACCAGGGTGGCCCCGCCCTGGCATGAGGAAACGCAAAACAGCCAGGGAGGGTGGGGGAAAGGAGTTGCCGCGAAGCAGGTAGGAAGGAGGACAGGAAACAAAAAGTGCAAGCGAGAAGCGAAGCTGGCGGGCGCTCTCGGGAGAGGAGGGAGAAAGGAGGGAAGAATGCGGCATCCTCCATGACCGAAGCCTCACTCCCCCCACCGCCGCCCTCCCCCACGCTTCCCCCCGCCCGCTCGCCCCCCTCACACGCCCCCCCCCCTCCCACACCCGCCCTCTGTCCGCCCGCGTCGCATCCCTGACCCTCGATTTGCCCGAAGCCAGCACCCGACGATTCCGAACCGCCTGCTCCCCGCGAGTGGGGGCGGCGGCCACCCTGCGCGTTTGGGGCCAAAGAGTGTGGTTTACTCTTGACCCGGGCCGGCAGCCCCTGGCAAACTTCCGACATCGTCGAGGGGTTCAGCTCGCCCACGGGGCCGCCGATCCAGAGGAGGCCTTGGTGCTGGTGTCGGCTTTTTGATGTTGCAGTGAACGAAAAGCCGGCACCAGCACCAAGACGCCACTGGAAAAGTTGGCAGCGGTTTCCCTGTGGGGGTTGAGCGATCCAAAGGAGCCTGGAAAGCTTGAGATGGTTGGCATTGCTCTCCGAACTTGCAGGCCATGGGGCTTGCATGATAGAAAAGCGTCCCATGGGGCTCATGGCGCCCCTAGGCCCCATGGGGCTTCCAGGCCCCATGGGGTTTCCAAAGTCCGCGGGACGCGCCAGGCCCAGAAACCCGATGTGGCCCTGACGAGTCATGGAGCCCATGGGGCCCGCGCGGCTCGCTAGGCCAGCGCGGCGCACTTGGCCCATGCGCGCTGCGTCGCACGTGCGGCCCAAGAAACCTTTGTGGGTTCGCACGGCTGGGTTCGCACGGCCCACGGCCCTCGCGCGGCCAATGGAAATCCGAACGCCCACCTGGGGAAATAGAAACGGCCCGCCTTGTTCCCACGCGCTCAGAGCTGGCATTCATCAACGCGGGACACGCGAGCCCGAAGACACGGGCGACGGCAGTCAACGGAGGCTATGATTGTTTCTTTTCCAATGGGATCTTGGTGTTGGTGTCGGGTTCCGGTGCGCCGACATGAGAACGTTGCTCGAACGAGGCTGGCCAGCGAAAGTCGCTAAGGATGGGCCGAAGAGGCAAGGATGCAAGGGTTACCCTTGGGAAGGTTGCCCGTCCTTACTGATTATGCGGGTTGACTGCAGGACAAAGGACCTCCTGCCGACCATGCTTCCGGCGCCCTGAAAACGATCTCCAGCGAAACACCGAGGGGTCTACGGTGGCGGCCTCAAATTATCCAATGATTGCGCAATTGTTGCATGTTGTGCTGTGCTTCACTATCAGTAGGTACCCCCTCCCCTTCTGGGCCTCGAAGCCGACCCCAAAAAATATATGACAAATCCGTGATCTGGGTCCGTTGGGCCTCGTGGGGGTCCAGGAATCCACGTCCGGAGGTGACGTGCTGAGCGGCCGCGCTGGTCGGCGCACGCCTTAATGCAGCGGGCCCAAAGCATCCGCGATGCATACTGGCCGCTCCTGGTGCCTCAGATCGCCCGCGACGTGCAGGACAGCTCACGAGCGGAAGCGCCCGGGCAGGAGGCGTTCCAAGGCCGTCGTTGCCCCGACGCCTCTTTTGAGCAGGGACCGACCGTCCCAGCATTCCTACAGGTCTACCACGACATGATATTAGAATCCAAAACCGTTCTAATAACAAA